CTCTCATCCCGTCCAGGATGTTTCCCTGGAGTTAATAATTGCCCTTTCCACAATCGACTGTTTGTCTTGTTTTACCTAATCTTATTCATCATTCAACTCATACTTAATTGTGTGTCTTCATTCCAGATAATTCTGTTCTTCCTCCTGAAGGAATCTCTGAATTTTCTGTCCTACCCCCATTTGGCAGGTGACCATCATCAAGTGTACCAGTCTGTGTAAAGCACATCCTTCATTTCAGAGAGGTCGTGCAGTGTGGAAAGGTTCTAGTGTCATACTCAAGTTTGTCAGGACCCAGAACTTGTTGAAATCTCTCACTCTCCTTCAGAATACTGAAGTTACTCTATCTCTCCAATGAAACCAAACCTTCAGCTGTGGTTGTGGAGACCAAAGCCATCATAACATTTCTGTTGTTCAGACAGGATCTCACTGTGTCCCCAAACTGATCCAACTCAGGACTATAGGAATGCCGACTCTGACTGATCTTCTGGAGGACACCGGTTTTTCCTTCTAGAAGTTTCTACATCTCTTTAGGATTCTGAAATTTCGAGGCGATATGCTTTGTTGTGAGTCTATTGTGCTGAGGCCTCTGGTGCAGAAACATATCCATCCACTGGGGTAAAGTTTCTTGAATTATTTTAACAATTTCCTTGAAAATTGATCCTAGATGGGTGTTCACAACACTGGGATCACAGTATTGGGTTTTATGGCCCCCAGAGAGAAAACTTGAGCTTCTTGCCAGAGTGGGGAAATCTGGGAATCTGACAGCATCTAACCCTGGGGTTCAAACCATCCTCCTTAACAAAGCTGCCCTCACTCCCATGTCAGCTGACCCATGAACTGCATCCACCCTTCAAAGGCTCTGTAAAGGGACTCGAGTGGTTCCTGAGTCTCCTACCTGATGGGTCAGGACTCACTTCCTTTGGTGTTCAAAAACCTGCATCCCTCTCTCTCTTCTCTTTGTTTTGTTTTTTTGAAACAGGGTTTCTCTGTGTAGCCTTGGCTGACCTGGAACTTGCTCTGGAGACCAGACCTGCCTCTGCCTTCCGAGTGCTGGGAATAAAGTCATGGGCCACTGATGTCCTGCAAATCTGTATCTCTTATTGTCACTTTCTGGCTTCCAAAAGTTTGCTACTATTGGCTGTGTTCTCCATCCTCCCCATCCATTTGTTGGGTTTGCTTTTGGTGCATTGGGGATCAAACATAAGGCCTCATACATGTCAGACAGGAGTTCTATCACTGAGCCATGCCCTCAGCCCTAAAACATCTTGTAGGAAAGCTGCTAGGGATGGCACCTAATGAATATTAGGCCAGAGTTCTACCACTGAATCATCCTCAGGTGGGGAGGGAGTGATGGGGGGGGGTGGTCCAAGGACAACTTTCAGGAACCAGTTCTCTCCTTCCCCCAAGGATCCAGCAATCAAACTTGGGTCATCCGGTTTGTACAGCAGCAAGCACTTTTACCCAAAAACCCATCTTACTGGGCCTACATTATTTTTTTTTTAAATCCTTTACTAACCTTAGTGAGGTTTGAGCAAAAAAATAGAAGCATATAGACCACCTCTGCCTTAAAAAATACAGTAACACTAAACTTTTGGTTTTGTGTGTGTGTGTGTGTGTATGTATGTATGTATGTATGCATGCATGCATGCATGCATGCCAACAAGGTTTCTCTGTGTAGCCCTGGCTGTTCTGGATCTCACTCTGTAGACCAGGCTGCCCTCAAATTCAGAGATCCTCCTGCCTCTGCCTTCAGAGTGCTGGGATTAAAGGTGAGTGCCACCACCCCAGGATTTTTTTTTTTTTTTTTTGAGACAAGGTCTCACAGTGTAGCCCTGGATGGCCTGGAACTGCCTCTGCCTCCCAAATGATGAGACTAAAAGCATGTGCCACTACACTGTTAATAACACAGCATTAAATTCATGGTTATAGTTTCTTTCACAAATATGAAACAACTTTTTGTATTTGAAAAAGAAGTTAAGGATCTTCTTAACTGGAAATTGGAAGGCTGGGAATGTAGCTTGTAACACAGCCCTTGCCTAGCACACATGAAGCCCTGGGTTGGATCCCCAGCATGGCAAAGGAAAATATGAAAAGTTAGTAACACCCTGGAAACCTTGTCAAAACTGAGGAAAAAGAATACTAAGACCCTTTAGGGGTCACACTGGATGCTAGAAAGATCGGTGGTCATGCCTTCCAAGTTCACAGGCAGCACTGTGGATAGCTGCCCAAAAAAAGAGTTTTCCAAGGTGACAGAAACATTCTCCTAGTCTGACCAAAACACTGGCCACCAGTCACACGTGACTACTGAAATGTACTTAACAATTTTTAATTTCATATAATTGTGACTAACTTAAGTAAGCCTTATGGCTATTTTGATAACACGGGCAAGGGCTACTTACCATAATTCTACTGAAAACAACTCTAGATACAAGATTCTGTTTTTGTTTGTTTATTTTGTTTTTCGAGATGGGGTTTTAGCTCTGGCTGTCCTGGAACTTGCTTTATAGTTCAGGCTGGCCTTGAACTCACGGAGATCTTGCCTGTCTCTGCCTCCTGAGTGCTGGAATTAAAGGTGTGTTGCTGGACAAAAGATTCTTTCACCGTTGAGTACTAAACATTCAATCCTCTACAAACACTAAAGAACTTCACTTCTTATAATTGACTATGACACAGCTCTAAACAAATTACCAGACCTTGTACAGGAGACCCTTGCAAAATACCCTTTGAATGTTCAGGTTAAAACGGCCCCTCTTTGGTTGGCCTCTGAGGCTCAAACATAAAATTCAATTAATCTCACCCTGGAGATCCAAACTAACTATCTTTTATTATGCCAGTTTCTGCCAGGCAGGGTAATCCCAGCATTAGGGAGGCATGGGCAGGGTAGCTACAAATAGAATGCCAGCATGATCTACTTTTTTTTTTTTTTGTAATTGTGGTGGGGGGATAAGGAGTTTCTTTTCATCCTTCCATACGGCTACAGAAGAAGCTGGCATGGAGAAAGAGGTGTCCTCAATTGCTCCCTGAACTGCAATGTACCCACAGGTGTTAACCCTCAAAGGTGACAAGACGCCTCTTAGAGGTGAACGGACCCAGTAACAACCAAACTACATGGGAGCCCTACTCCTCTACCTCACGAGATCTTCCCAACAACCCTATGAAATAGGTATTATCTCAACACCACTTTACATATAAAAAGACTGAAACTTAGAGGGGTGGTGTCATTTATCTACTTCCCGGGAGAAACCAACGAGCAGAGTCAACTCCAGTTCGGTGTGGACATAAAAGCTACATTCTATATGCCCGCAGACCGGGGGGTCTCTGCCCTGCCCCGCGCGCGGCCCCCGGCCATGGGGCTCTGGAAAACCGTGGCGGACTCCGAGGGGGAGTTCTGCAGCCGCCGGGGCGGGAGCAGGCCCTGCAGGGC